GATGCAACAGGACAATGACCCAAAGCATACAAGTAATTCAACAAAACAATGACTGCAACAGAATACGCCTTCTGGAGTGGCCCAGTCCTGACCTCAACCCGATTGAAATGCTGTGCATGACCTTAAGAGAGCGATTCACACCAGACATCCCAAGAATATTGCTACACTGAAACAGTTTTGTGAAGAGGAGTGGTCCAAAATTACTCCAGATCGTTGTGCAGGTCTGATCTGCAACTACAGGAAACGTTTGGTTGAGGTTATTGCTGCCAAAGGAGGGTCAACCAGTTATTAAGTCTAAAGGTTCACATACTTTTTTCCTCCCTGCACTGTGAATATTTACATGTTATGTGCAATTAAACCATGGCGACATCTAATGTTTGTGTAGTATTATGTTCAGCAGACTGTGTTCTTCTATTGTTGTGACTTAGATGACTTTCAGAGCACATTTTATGCCCAATTCATGCAAAACTCCACGTAATCCCAAAGGGTTCACATACTTTTTCTTGCAACTGTAAATTTTTTCGGTAATTATGACTACTGTTCTGATGGATCCCATTGTTTGCTATCTGGGCGCAGTAGATGAGGAAATGTTTCCCCCACCAATCCATAAAGCTGTTCTTACACTTTTGTATATTGCCCGCATCATATTGCCCATTTTGGATGTTGTCACAAATTCCAACTAAGAAACATTGGATCAACCAAATGAAGGTGTCCTTTTAAGAAACAGAGATCAGTGGCGATCCTCAGGATCGTTGCTGATCTCCGATCATTAGTGGTTTAGGAAACAGAGATGATAAGTGGAGAACATGTTCTCCACTGATCATCTCAGCAGACAGATGGCCAGTATATGGAGGGGCGATGTCAACTCTTCACTGTCGATCTGTGTTCTCCCTCCAGATTCTCCAGCCCAGAGCTGGAGAATCGGAGGAATTGCAAACGAAGCAGTGGTAATTTACCTCTGCTTAGTAAATGGTGTTTGACTGATCTCTTACTGTAATCTCACGAAATTATAGTAACAGCAGCCGTTTTCTAGCGTTCAATGCATTTGTAGATCGTTCTCTCTTCTTTCGGAGAAGCGATCTACACCGCTTCATAAAAAGGCATTCAGAGGAGAACTCTCACCTCTGAAAATGCCAGAGAACTGAGCAACGGTCATTTACCACTGCATGATAAAAGGACACCTCATTTATGATAAGGGAAAAGTTGACATACCAACATGGCTGGATACACCAGGACTAGCCCCTCCACAACTGGTTTTGCATAGACTCTTGCAGGTATGAAGACTAGGCATCCCAGTGTGCATTTACAAAAAGTTTTGTTTTTTAGTCTTCTAAGTGGTGCAGGATAAAGAAGTAGATTTAGAGTGTCGTTATGACTGGACTCTCTTCTTGCAGTCCTATACACTTTATCCTACCAGATAATGGATTTTCTGGTTGCATTTTCTTGTTACATATATATATATAGATATATATATTTTATTATTATTATTATTATTTTAAAAAAATTAGTTTCATATGAGTTGCCTTGTTCCACTCCTATGTGTCATGGGAAGACTATTTAACATATAGTGAATTGGCAGTGGAATTATTGTATGATGTTTGTATATTAGGTGTAAGAATGGTTGTGCCATCCATGCTATCCTTTACTGATTTGTGTATGTATCATCTCAGAGCTTTTTTCTGATTAAAATAAAATCAGCAGTAACTATTTGATGCTAAAATGCCAAAGTTTATTTGCTGGGTGTTTACGGACCTTTTTACAACAGTTGGGGCCAAAGTGCATGCATCTACAATAAGAAAGAAATTTCACCTACATTCAAGCATGACTACAGTTTGAAACTGAACATGTAGGCATAGACCAGGCCTTCCAGAACAATGGACTGAAGACTGACTTGTTTGATCACAGTAATAGTAGATATGTTTTCCACAAGCTGAAGACATTTCAGAAGGGGTACTTCATACCAACTGTGAAACATAGTGATGGAAAGGTTATGGTTTAGTGTTGCTTTGAGACTTCAGGGCCTGGTTAGTTTGCAGTCATTGAATCAACTATAAATTCAGCATCATATCTAAGTGCCTGATCAGAATATAAGGCTATCTATCTAAATGTTGAAGTGAAATTTGTAGAGGGGGGAGATTGAAATAGGAAGCTCATTCAAAGAAACTCATAAATATCTCACAACTAAAGACATTTTGTATAAGTGGTCACAAATTTCCCAATGCCAGAGATCGGTGACCTGTTAAATAAAATGCCTGCAAGAAGTCATGCCTGGTAAAGGGGACAATACTAGCTTATGAGGTGTACTTATTTTTATGTTCTATTCCCTCCCCACTAAATCCAAAAGTTTGAGGGGAATGTATAACATTTTTGGATGCATATCCCTTCATTTATTATGTTCAGAACTAGAATAATATATATTTTTTAAATTTTCTAAGTTTTTTTTTTGTAATTCCTTTATTCTGAAAACTTGCAGAGGCAACACATAATAAAGTAACAAGGAAAGTCTCACAGTCAAATTAGGTGCAAAAAATAATATTAAAACAAAGTATAGGTGATCATGTGGAACACTGCAGACTCCAAGTTTGTCATCATACAACAGAACATAGCACATAAGGTAGTATCAGAAGAAACCTCCAACACATACTCTTGAGCTTAAAGAGTGCAACCTAATAGAATAAAGGCATACCAAGGTGCATAAGACACCCCTGTGGCCAGTGCAATCCAGATAAGGGGCACAAAAGCAAAAATATAGGAGGTCAAAATAAGTGAATAGTAGAATGCCCCAAAATTGGAACAAATGTACCCGGGGGGGAGGGGGAGAATAGGAAGCAAGAGGGTGGCAATTAGAAATAGGAAGTACTGGGAGGCCTATGTGTACTGGACACATAGAGTACCCACATGAGAACGTGTGAGCACAGAAAAGAGGGGTAGCACTGTAAAGGGGTGAAATAAACTACAATTACCTAGAAGAAGAGCAAAGTCTCTCTCACCCCGGGGGGAGAGCAAGCTAAAGTTCCAGAGTGTCAACCAGGGTGTGAAACCTCTTTAAGGTAAGCATCAGTATAAACAAGTTATTGCCAGGGCCTCTAAGTATCACAAAAGGTCTATTCCTGGTTGTACAGAGCAGCCATGAGGTCTTTCATATGTCCAAGTGCATTAACTTTAGAAAACCAAAGGGACTTCAAAAGTGGGTTCACAGACCTCCAGCATAGAGGAATACATGCCTTGGTGCCTTGGCCACATTTAGAAGCTGGATTGTAAGAGATTCCTTATATCTCTTAATAGGTCTTGCTGAGAGATGCAGTTGGCATGCTGCAGGACTGCCCTTTAAATCTATATTGGTCAGATGTTTGATGGCACTGATCACCTCTTGCCAAAATGGTCTGATTTTAGACATCTTCAGTCCCAGAAAATGTGTAACATCATACTGCCTTCAGCACCACACACCATCAGCATAAGTTGAGGACTGGAGGAAGGAGGCGGTGTAGGGTGGTAGGCACCCTATACCACCTAGTTCGCATCTTATAGCTGCTCTCCTGGACCTTAGTTGTGATGGAAATCTTCTGCACTGAGTTAATGATTCTCTTTCTCTGAGCAGTAAATTGGGTGTCAAGGTCAGACTCACATTTAAAAAGGAAATTGGGGAAAAAAAACCCATTGCTGGTTGGATCAGTTGCGCATAAATAATGGAAAGATCATGACGGATCGGTTCCCTCCTGTGACAGATGCTTTCTAGCTCCATAAGCTACCAGGAGATACCTGGTGTTTGAGAGCACTGACCATTCCAAAAATCCAAAGGAGGGTTGGTGGTGGTCACAATGGCAGTAGAGGAAACCTGGCCATCAGACCCCAGGAAATCACAGAAATGGAGGGTGACCATTTGATACCAGTTGCTTGAAATGGGGATTCTGGAGGCCTGGTTCAAATTCTGGATTACCCAGTATAGGGACAGTGGAAAAACAGAAGAGTTTTCAGAGGTGTCCCTCATGACCAACAAGGTGCTAACAAGGGTAGTGTGGTCACTGAAAACTTTTGGCCATAGCCACCCAATGTTTCACCTTGGCATGACAGTGCCAATCAGGCAGCCTGGTGAGATGGGCCACATCTGGGAGGCCAACCCTTCCATGGAGATTTGAGATAGAAAGAACCTGGAGCTTAAGACATAGTTTCTGGTGAGACCATACAAGTTCTTGAAACAGGGAGCTTACCTGTTTAAAAAACAGCTGGGGGAGGCAAATAGGGAGGACCTGTAGCAGATAGAGCACACTGGGCAACACAGTGATCTTGAGTGTGCTGCAATGGCCACACCAAGTTAGAATGAGCAAATGCTAATGTAGCAGGTCAGCTTTCAGATGGATTAGTAATGGGTCAAAATTAGCTGTATAGAGAGCAGTAGGATCTGAGGTAATGTTAACTTCCAGGTCACGAATGGAGTCGGTCACCCATCGGAAGGAAAAGAAGTGGTGCAGTAAATAGATCATGGGCTGATCCACCGAATGGTTAAGAGCAGAAGACTTTGACAGGTTAATTTGAAAATAGGAGAGGGTTCCACATAGCAGGTAAGATAATGGATCCATTAGAAAAAAAAATCAAGTCATTCGCAAATGCGGCTACTTTATGGATACCCAACACCTTCAAATAACCTGTAATTTTCTAAGCTTTTTTTTTAAGTCACTTGCCCCTGTTTTATAAATCTCTGTAGTTTTAATTGCATTCCGAGAAGAAAAATTTAGTGCTGTGTTTTATCTTAAGAAAACCCATAGTGCTTCAGCCTGCAAGCCGTCAATACAGGAGCACTCTGATAAGACCATTATTCTGCTCTCTGATAAAGCTCTGAATGTTAGATGGATGCATGGTGCACTGCAATAGAGCATGGCTGGATTGCATTACTGACCCTTCTCTTCCTAGAATTTTGCTGTGCAGGGAGCTACAGGAGGCTAATAACAAGACAAATTCAAGTGTTTCCGTCAGCTATATGTAAAAATACATTTAAAGTGTTACTAAACCCACAACAGTAAAATCAGTGTGTATATGCAGTAAAGCATGCTTGTTATACTCATTGTGGAACCTAAGGAGGTAATCCTCTGCATTGTGTAAAAACGCTGTTTGATTCTGACTTCTCTGATCCTCCCCTTCTTTCAGTGTCCCCCTCTTACCTCCTGATAAGACTTATTGTGTGAAGTCACTCTATACATGATCAGTTTGGTGTATATTGCTAGAAAGGTTTTTTTTCTTGGGAAAGTGCATGTGATCAGCACAGGGCCAATCAGCACTGTTAAGACAGAGGTTAGGGGTCCTGCATCCTGCTAGATCAGAATGAAAACTCCTCCTACAAGCTTTAACCAGTGCTTTGCCGGACACTGATAGAAGTCACATGACTGCTCTAACTGCTGATGAAAAAATGTATTTAGCAGTTTATATTTACTAAAATAATTGCATTTCCATGTTGTGTGTACTGTGGGAGACCAGATATAGTGAATGCAGGGTCCTGGGTTTAGTAACACTTTAATAATGTTTCTGTAAGAAAGTGAAGTTTGCATTTAACTAAATTACTAATGGAAATATTGGCTGTATAATTATATTTTTTACAAAGCTATATTTGTTTTATTTTTTTAAATTAATGTTAGTCTCTTAAGGCAACAATGTGGAGCAGCCTGTGTTTCAATGTTTTTATTAGTTTTAACTGGACTTGTGTGACTTTAATGACAGAAAAGAAGAGGATCATATCTATATGGTTTTTCTGTAGTGTACCCCATTTTAGGATTAGGGAGAATTACCAAAGTCTGCGTCCAATATCTCTTAATGAGGCTGCCCAAGAAGAAGTCTAGATCTGATATATCTTGTCCAAGACTAAAACTGAGTTATGTAAATAATTTTCAATTGTAGAAAAAGTCTAAATATCTAGAAATTAAAGGAAATGCTACTTATATAAACATGGTTGTATTTAGTATAATTTTTTAGACACTCAATTTTCCATTAGTGTCTGAGATATAGGATTGTGATTTTAGTGGAAGAAGATCAGACAAGGTTATCATAGCTGCCTAAGATTTTGTCCAGTGCAATCAAAGTTTCTTCTATGTGCAATGTGTGGACCTCTGATTTGTTTCTGCAGAGTATTTTGCACAGCATCATTGCAACATTGTTTCCTTTCTGTACAATTGCTATGTACTTTTGAAAACATTTTGAAGCAAAACATTCATTTCTTTATCAGTAGGTGGCAGACTTGTCATATTCTTTATTGTGCAACATTCTCCCAGCAATATTTTATTTTTTATATACAGCATTGTATTTTCTGTTGTCACCAATTTAATGGGCATTCACAGAATATATGAGTTGATCTGGGGTTATACTTACCAATTTAAAATTTCTGTCAAACACAACGTCAAATTATTGTTTACCGTGGTAGATTCATAAAATCTTAAGGGAAAGGATGCGCCTTATAACAATCAGATTCCAGAATTGTATTTTTCACATTGATATTAGGAAATAAAAGCTGCAGCTGACATTTGAAAATGTTCAATGAGAATTCCAGACATTTATTTTTAAGTAAGTTCTTAATACTTCTTGCTGATAATAAAACTCCATGTACTGCAATTTTTGAAATGTGGAAAAATTATTATAAATTACAAATACACTTAAGTGCTTTATTCTCACTTTCTCAGGTGTGTTAACACATGCATTCATAGCTGTTAAAGTGTCTAATTAGCCAAAACGTTTTTTTTTATTTTCAAGTTCGGTAGGATTAATTCCCTTTATGGGTATTATTGCTGTCTGTGTGCCCTCTCAAATGTTTAACCTTCTGTATTTGTCCTAGTGACCAAAGTGATTGGATATTCAAAATTTTATAGTTATCTCTTGTATGAGAGATAAAAGGTAAATCTTCCAATGAGGATGCCTGTTCTGGTGACATCTGTGTAGGGGAATTCTCTCTTAGATAGTTACAGATTTTCTCTCAACTCCTGTTGTATGTTCAGAACAGAAAGCGAAGGGAAATATACCCAACAGAAGAGAGACAGCAAAAGATAAAAAAAGGTGTTGGCTATATATATATATATATATATATATATATATATATATATATATATAAGTTAGGTCCATATATATTTGGATACAGACACAATTTTAGTTTTTTTTCAGGTATTTATCAAAACATATTTAATCTATAGTTATATAATGGATATGGGCTGAAAGTGCACACTCTCAGGTTTAATATAAGGGTATGTAGATCCAAACTGGAGGAAGGGTTTAGGAATTACAGCTCTTAAGAGTAGGCATTTTTCAAGGGACCAAAGTAATTGGACAATTGAATCAAAAGCTGTTTCATGTAGAGTGGGCTACTCCTTCATTATTTCTTCATCAATTAAGCAGGTAAAAAGTCTGAAGTTGAGTGTGGTATTTGCATTTGGAAGCAATTGCTGTGAACCTACATCATGCTTTCAAAGGAGCTGTCCATGCAAGCGAAACAGGCCATTGTAAGGCTTCAAAAACAAAACAAATCCATCAGAGAGATAGCAGCAACATTAGAAGTGGCCAAATTAACAGGTTGGTACATTCTGAAGAAAGAAAAATGCACTGGTGAGCTCAACAACATAAAAAGGCATAGATAGTCCACAGAAGGCAACAGTGGTGGATGATCACAGGATCCTCTCTATGATAAAGAAAAGCCCATTCACAACATCCAGACCAGTGAAGGACAATCTCCAGGAGGTGGGCGTATCATTGTCAAAGTCTACAATCAAGAGAAGACTTTATGAGTGCAAATACAAAGGGTTCACCACAAAGTGCAAACCATTCATAAGCGTGAAGTATAGAAAACCCAGATTAGGCTTTGCCAAAAAACATCTAAAAAAAGCCAGACCAGTTCTGGAAAAGCATTCTTTGGATGGATGAAGCTAAGATTAATCTGTACCAGAATGACAGTGGAAAAAGTGTGGAGAAGGCTTAGAGCAGCTCATGATCCAAAGCACACAACGTCATCTGTAAAACATGGTGGAGGCAGTGTGATGGCATGGGCATGCATGGCTTCCAGTGGCACTAGGTCATTGGTGTTTTTTGATGATGTAACAGAAGACTGAAGCAGCCAGATGAATTCTGCAGTGTTTAGAGATATACTGTCAGCCCAGATTCAGCCAAATGCTGCAAAGTTGATTGGACGGCGCTTCACAGTACAGATGGACAATGATCCAAAACACACTGCAAAAGCAACCCAGGAGATTTTTAAGGAAAAGAGGTGGAATATTCTGCACTGGCCAAGTTAATCACCTGATCTCAATTGAGCATGCATTTCACTTGGTGAAGGCAAATCTAAAGGCAGAATGACCCACAAACAAAGAACAACTGAAGACAGCTGCCTGGTAAAGCATCAGAAAGGAGGAAGCCCAGTCTTTGGTAATAAACGGAAGAACTTCCTGCGCTAAGAATGGGGCCCTATTCACCAAGCTGCTGACACAAAACCTCCTTACCAAAATGAGTGAAATAATAAATCACTAAAGTGCAAAGTCTCTGTGCAATTAAAATTGTGCAATCCGTGTACTGCCAATTATAGATAAAGTGCAATAGTGCCAATCGCTAGCAAAAATCACTGCACACATCTGTAAAAAATATAGTCCATAAGGAAAAAAGAAGTGTCCAAGTTCGACAAAAAAACACACAAATCTTCATGCATGAAGATTTGCATGAAGATTTGAGCACATGCATGAAGATTCGTGTGTTTTTTTGTCAAATTTGGACACTTCTTTTTTCCTTATGGACTATATTTTTTACAGATGTGTGCAGTGATTTTTGCTATTGGCACTATTGCACTTTATCTATAGTTGGCAGTACACGGATTGCACAATTTTAATTGCACATATTGCACAGAGACTTTGCACTTTAGTGATTTATATAAAGCACTGTTATATTTTGAATAGTTAGATATACGCTATATATTTAGCAAGTTTAGGGATAGCGCTACAGTCTTTGGTCATGTCCATGGGCTGATGCTACACACTAAACTAAACTAAAATTGTGGTGCTGATGCTGTATTTAGGACAAGCTAAACTTTAAAATAAAAAAATCAATGACACATCCAAAATATATAATACTAAAATACAATCTGGCTGACACTATCCATGAAAGTCATATTGTTCCATATCACCACATATAGCCTAAATCCATCTCCCAAGCATGTAACTCAGGGAAACCAAAATTAAGAAAAACACTAAACAGAGCAAATCACCACCTTAACTCAATAAATAGTTAAGTCTTGAGAACGCCCTGTGGGTGGGGCGAAACACGTCGATGCACTTCCGGTTTGCCATCCTGCCGTTCCGTGTCATTTCCGGTGAGTGGAACGCACGCTGAGCGGTGCGTTCCAAGCGGCCATCTTTCTCATTGTTGGAAGCGTATCCTGTCATCCTTTCGTTGGACCAGGCTGTGAGGTCTTTGTTATAGACTATGTGGAAACTGTGGAATCTGTGAAAGCCTAAGGAGGCAATTAAACGCTGTTTTATGATCATGAGAAATGTGAGTGGTCTGGCAAACGTTTATTTAGTATTTCACAGAGTATTAGCAGTATCACACTATTGTGTATTTTTTCCCTGCACTGCTGTGGAGTTGGTGAGAAGAGAAGGCAGGAGCGAGTGGAGGAGTATCCTTAATCATATGGTGGAAAGGAGTCTTGGAGGTCTTAAAGGGGGTTTAGGAGCCCAAAATAATCCTAAAAGGCGCAACACTCACCAATATCTGGTGAGTGAGGTTGATGTTGTTTTTCTCACTGGTGGATGGTGGAAGCATTATTTCTGACACTTGGGAGAAAGGACTTTTTCTTGGATTTAGTTATTATGGACACTTTAATATGAAATTATATGTTTGTGGGAATATATATATATCATTTTAATATGTATTGATAATTTTTTCACTTTCAATTTTTAGCACATTTATTTTACAAGTCTTTATGTACAATTAATTTATTTATTGAGTTAAGGTGGTGATTTGCGCTGTTTAGTGTTTTTATTAATTTTGGTTTACCTGACCTGTGTGCAGCAGCAGCAATCTATAACCTTGGTGTATATATTATATATTTTCCCTAAGGGGTGTTCCTGTGCGCTGGGGTTTGTTTTCACATATATGTAATTCAGGGAATTGGTGTTTTTCCCTTAATATCCTCGGAAATGCATCAAAAAGAGGACTCTCTCATTGTTGTACAGTATTTTAAATCATTTTTTAAATTGGTACATGTCCCCTGGGACATTTCTCAGCTCACCATATTATTTTACTGAAATCTCTTGCCCATTAGTTTTCAAAATGGCCAGAATGTATTTTAAAGATTTGACCC